GTCCCGGCGTATGTTATTGCACTGACGGTCGTTTAGCCCAAGTCTGTCAGTCTGGAATATACCTTAAGTTGGACCTGATTCTTTTAAAAACCTCGCACAATTTGGAAAATGTTATTTTGATTGTTCCGGTGGTTAGGGCCGGACATTTTATGTTCCGACGGCCCGTTTAGTCCACCTAGGTTATGATTTGAAATGGAGCTGGTAATGAAATTGAAGTATTATTATGTGGATAGAAACCTGAGGGTAGGCAAGGAGAAATCCCACAGGGAGGTTATCGTCCCTGCCCTGCCGAGATGAAATCAAGCCGCCCGGGCCTTTGTTATTTCACTGCCGTCGTTTAGCCCAAGTCTGTCGGTCTCGGATGGTACGTTAAATTGGGCCGATTTACGGCATGTATTTAAATGAAAGAACCGAACGAGTTTCAGTCGGTTACTATGGTTATGTCCATTTCACTGGACTAGAACCAGGAATAGAGATAAACGTGGGATGATTTTTACAAAGGTCAGATTAAACCTGAGATGATTTTTACTAAGGTTAGATTAAACCTGGGATGATTTTTACTAAAGTTAGATTAAACCTGGGATGATTTTTACTAAGGTGAGATTAAACCTTGGATGATTTTTACTAAGGTTAGATTAAACATGGGATGATTTTTACTAAAGTTAGATTAAACCTGGGAGGATTTTTACTAAAGTTAGATTAAACCTAGGATGATTTTTACTAAGGTTAGATTAAACCTGGGATGATTTTTACTAAGGTTAGATTAAACATGGGATGGTTTTTACTAAAGTTAGATTAAACCTGGGATGAATTTTACTTAGGTTAGATTAAACCTAGAGTGAGTTTTACTAAGTGAGATGATTACTAAAGTTAGTTTAAACCTGGGAGGATTTTATGGAAGTTAACTTAGGGTAGGCAAGGAGAATTCCGACAGGGAGGTCATCGTCCCTGCTCTGCCGAGATGATGTCCGTCCGTCCTTATGTTATTGCACTGCCAGTCTGTCAGTCTGTAATATACCTTACGTTGGACCCGTTTTTTTAGAAACCTAGTGTGATTTGATAAATGTTAATTCGATTGTTCCGGTGGTTTGGGCTGAACATTTTATGTTCCGACAGCCCGCTTAGTCCACCTAGGGTATAATTTGAAATGTAGCTGGTAATGAAATTAAAGTATTATTATGTGGATAGAAACCTGAGGGTAGGCAAGGAGAAATCCCACAGGGAAGTTATCGTCCCTGCCCTGCCGAGATGAAATCTGCCTGTCCCCCCGGGCGTATGTTATTTCACTGCCGTCGTTTAGCCCAAGTCAGTCAGTCTGGAATATACCTTAAGTTGGACCTGATTCTTTTAGAAACGTAGTACGATTTGAAAATTTCTATTTTGATTGTTCCGGTGGTTAGGGCAGGACATTTTATGTTCCGACAGCCCGGTTAGTCCACCTAGGGTATGATTTAAAAGAAAGCTGGTAATGGATTTGAAGTATTATTATGTGGATAGAAACCTGAGGGTAGGCAAGGAGAAATCCCACAGGAAAGTCATCGTCCCTGCCCTGCCGAGATAAAATCTGTCTGTCCGTCCGGGCGTATGTTATTGCACTGACGGTCGTTTAGCCCAAGTCTGTCAGTCTGGAATATACCTTAAATTGGACCTGATTCTTTTAGAAACCTAGTACGATTTGAAAATTTCTATTTTAATTGTTCCGGTGGTTAGGGCTGGACATTTTATGTTCCGACGGCCCGCTTAGTCCACCTACAGTATGATTTGAAAAGCAGCTGAAATTGGAGTATTACAATGTGGATAGAAACCTGAGGGCAGGCAATGAGAAATCACACAGGGAGGTTATCGTCCCTGCCCTGCCGAGATGAAATCAGGCCGCCCAGGCCTTTGTTATTTCACTGCCGGTCGTTTAGCCCAAGTCTGTCAGTCTCGGATGGTACGTTAAATTGGGCCGATTTACGGCATGTATTTGAATGAAATAGTCGGTTACTATAGTAATGTCCATGTCACTGGACTAGAACTAGGAATAGAGTTAAACCTGGGATGATTTTTACAAAGGTTAGATTAAACCTGGGATGATCTTTATAGAGGTTGGATTAAACCTGGGATAATTTTAGAAAGGTTAGATTAAACCACAGTGATTTTACAATGTGGTTATCTCTAGAACTCCCAAAATGATTGATTTTTAAGAAAAACCTTAATAGTCGTTTTAAAAACCGGGTAAGTTTAAACCTGGTTTAATTTCAAAGATAGCTGGCACAAGAACCCACTATAAGATTCTATTCTAAACTACAAGATTGGATTAAACCTGGTTTGATTTTAAAGTTAGCTGGTACAAGAACCCACCATAAGGTTCTATTCTAAACCATAATGGTTAGATTAAACCTGGTTTGATTTTAATGATGACTGGTACAAGAACCCACCATAAGGTTCTATTCTAAACCATAATGGTTAGATTAAACCTGGTTTGATTTTAAAGATAGCTGGTACAAGAACCCATCGTAGGTTCTATTCTAAACCATTATGGTTAGATTAAACCTGGTTTGATTTTAATGATAGCTGGTACAAGAACCCATTGTAAGGTTCTATTCTAAACTATAATGGTTAAATTAAACCTGGTTTGATTTTAAAGATGACTGGTACAAGAACCCGCTATAAGGTTTTATTTTAAACCGCAATGGTTATATTAAACCTGGTGTGATTTTGAGAAATACTTTTTTGAAAAGAGAAATCGTGAAAATATACTTTGGCAGAAAGTAAAAGTAAAAAAAGTACGAATTTTTAGAAAGGAACTTGAGGGTAGGCAAAGAGAAATCCCACAGGGAAGTCATCGTCCCTGCCCTGCCGAGATGGAATCTAGCTTATGTTATTTCGCTTCCGGTCGTGTAGCCCAAGTCTGTCAATCTGTCAGTCTCGGATA